GCTGAACAAAATTGCTTCTTGAAGTTATGATAAAAAAATCCTACTCAGTAATACCAGCAGGAGAAATTAACTGGTTTATATTTTTCCTTCATTGGTATAGCAGATCCAATACAAGTAGAATGACCTAGGTTTTCTCCTGGCTTACAAGTTATAAACATAACTTTTCAATAAATCAAACTTTTTAAATAAAGTGGTGAATATATTTTTTTAATTACAGCAGTTTTTTTTTTTTTTCCTCCCAGTAATGATATATCAATACTACAAATTTCACAGAATCACAGAATGGCTGAGGTAGCAAGTGACGTCTGGAGATCACCTAGTACAAGCCCTCTCTGCTCAGAGCAAGGTCACCTACAGCCAGTTGTTCAGGACCATGTCTAGTTGGGGTTTGAGTATTTCCATGGTCACAGATACCACAATCTCTCTGGGCAGCCTGTTCCTGTGTTTGACCACCCTCAAAGTAAAAAAGTTTTTGCCTATGCTTATGTTAGAGGTATCTCACTTCACCTGAGGAAGACATACACAGAGGAGACATACATATTAACTAAAACATTCTTCCTAAAAAAAGAACAGGAACTTCTTTTCAGCATAATTCAAGAACACATGTCCATTCACTCAAGGAAAAAAGAAAAAAGTTCGAGTTTTAAACCCAGCACAAAAGCAGATCACTTTGCAAACTGTTATATTTTTAGTATATTAAAATATCAGTGTCTTGCTGTAATAATTTCTTTGAATAATAAGTGACTAAAGGAATATAGGACAGGGAAAGAAAGAGGGGAAAGGCACAACCAGCCCCTGCTCACTGCACATTACTGGTTGACAGTAAAACCTTGACAGATCAGGCTTTTATGGATTTTGCACATTGTAAAACTCTCAGGCGAAAGAAAGCAGAGATCCTGAAAGATAATGAAACCAACCATTATACTAATTGGCACCATGTAGCTGTCTTTTTCATGGGACTGTCATCTACATGAAACCTGGAGAACAAGAACCTTATAAAAGATGCCACGGGACCTGCAAGTGGAAACCCAGGCAACTAGCATGAATGAGAAGGTTTTGAAGTGACAGTGGGATGCACGAGAGGAAGAACTGGAAGGTGTACGTGAGACAAGGAGCTCCTTCTCTGTGTAATGGTTTTATTCGCTGTGGGAAATTAAATACACGATTATACAAATTAACTGATTTCTTATTATAGCTAAACCATTCTGCAACAAGATTTCCATTGGATGAGTTTATCTAGAATTCCTGACACTTAAATGCAAAATTCACCTTGTCAAAAACGTATAGGGAAGTCCAGATTTGGTAGGATTTTATCCAAAAGCCTTTGCAAAAACTGCTCCCTCCACTAACAATGATGAAAAGTAGCATATGAAATTATTCTACGCATATTCTTCCATAATAATTAACCAAACCAGGACAACAATGTTTATAGAGCAGCCCATTCAGCTATTACTGAAGATATAAATAAAATATTTGAAATAAAATATATAAATAAAATTTATATAAATATAAATTAACAGAAAGTTGTAATTATCAGAGAAAAAGGGCCATCACAAGTTAATTTTAAGAGGCTGTACCATCTGTTGCTTTTTCTAAAAGAGCAATCTGAACAGCAGAAAGAAAACACATGTTTTCTCATCTTACCTGTCTTGTCTCTATAACAACCACTGATGCAAGTCGTATTTATTTCTACACCACCAATGTCATACAGTACAATTAAATGAAACTGAAAAGGTCAAAAAACATCAGAGTAGGTTCTCCACAAGATATCTAAACCTGATAATGTCAAGGTGACTCATCATCTCCTTTGATTCATAATCATTATGTGCTCTTGACACTGCACAGGCTGCTAACTACTTTTTATAAATCAAAGCCTCCTTTTTCTTTTTAATTCAAATATTTTTCTTAATATCTCTGACATTTAGGGGGACGTCACCACGGCACTTTCAGTGACATTATAATCTCATAAGTTAACCAGCAACAGAATTCTCTCTATCTATGTGTACTTATATATTTAACTCTGGACTTTTAAAAGGCCTACACTTCTTTGCTCCTTTCTAATTTTATACAAGGCAAATTAACACACACAAAACTTCTCATGGCCACTGTAAGGTTACACGGAAGGAGAGAGCATCTGCTCCCTTAAGGGTATCTGGACAAGGATCTTTTCAATGCAAAAGGGGATAATAAGAAGAGGGAGAAGCCATAAGGAAGAACATTGCAGGGACACAAACCTAACCAACAAACATGAGGGAGGCAGTAACAAGAACCAAACCTGCTCAGTCCTACTTCTTGGTAGGGGTATGGGGAATGTAGGAATGTTTCTTTTAGTAAGATTATCTGATGGAGGATTTTGTCAAATGGGATGATAAAGAGGCTATAAACAAAACAGAGACACAAACTTGAAGACAAACATAAGAGACAAAAGACAAGAAACAAACCTGGTAAGGCACAGAGTGAAGGGCTATCAAGAAACTGTGGGCAAAACAGGATTTTGCAACTGATGAACACACAAACCTGAGGGCCCAGAGTGTTGGAGCAGGATACATGGAACTACACCAGCTGATGACAGCATGCAAAGGTGAAGGTGGTTGGGGAGAAACAAGATGGGGAACAAACATCAAGGGTTATAGAAGGCACCAGTTGCACATAAAATGGGGCCAGTCAGCATGTTTGTCTGACTGAGCCCTGTGCCTCATCACGGTGGTCAGTCCTAGCTTCTTATGAAATCCTATTCTGTGCAAGAGAGTGTGCTGCAAGGATTAAGTGACAGCAGCTGGTGAGACCAGCACAAGAAGACAAGACACTGGGCCAGCAACAGGAGTCAAACTGGGGTGCAGACACCCTGGCCCATGGTGTGAACTACAGAAGCAAATGCGCGTTTTGGCCACCAGCAGCTGGGGTGGGAACAGTGCGTTCCAAACACCAGCTACTGCGGGAGCCTGGAGTGAGGCAAGTAAAGGCTGTTCTGTCTCCTATGGGAACCATGCAGGGCTGCTAGACTGGCTAAGATCTTCCACTCAAGAGTTCTGAAAGGAAAAGAGCTGCCCAGGCAGAGAAACACTGTCATTCCCCGCTCCCCATGCGTACAGCCAAGCTGGTGGTGGCACTGCCATAACTATCCAAACAAGTAAAGAGTAAGGGTGAGCACTCCAAAGAGCCCAGGCACACTGAGGCACAGCAAGTCCTCTGCTAAACAAACTGCTAGTAAAGGGGCTGACCATGCAAGAGAAATAGGCAGTCCTGCCTGGGGGCTTAGCCACAGATGCAGTGCTGTACCATTCCAGAGTACGGGACGAAGAAATCTGCAATCGCTAGCTACAGCTACGCATGCTAAGTATACTTCTTTTCTGATCTAGTTACTGCTTTATGATATGGCGTATGTCTTACATACATATGTATCTATACAAACAGATACAGGCACATAGATATACACCTATGTTATATATACCTATACATAAACACAGATATCTTTATATAGGGACTATTTCAAATTGGTTGCACATCAGAGCTAATGCAAAATATGAAACTTATCAACTGTATTTCCTTCAAACAAAATAGATAGTTCTCTTCTGTAACTTTTAAAACTTACTACTAACAGACACACAGGCAAAGTTTAAGATCTTAGCTTTAAGTCCACTCTCTCCTTTTGCTGTTACTAGGTCTCTTGGATATCTATGGTGTAATTTACTTTTTGAATAAACTGAAAAATATTTTCAAGATGTTCTCGCAAAGCTCTTCTTCATTTTGGAAGTTGCCTTTTCTCCTCAGTTCATCACAGTGTGAATGTGGTAAACTTCAGGCAATGCTCCTTCAATAGCCACCTTGTTCCCAGGGACGACTAAGATGAAGATTTAAGGCCTAATTTTATACTTCTATCTTGTGTGGGCAAAGGCATGTTTGGATAGCAAATATTCATATAGAAATGAATGTTCATTTAATGACATGGTTAGTTTTGTCTCATGTCCGAATAAGCATGCAACTTATTTTAATAAACAAATCTCTGTTCATTTGGGAACACATCCAACTAAATTCATTATTCAAAAAAAACAGCAAGCAATCACAATATCCATGTGATAGTCACACTGAAATATTTTGTGCTACAGCTCTGATTTACCTTAGAGACCAATCTTATGTTTCAAAACACTTAAAAGATTCTTTTTTTTTTGTCCTATGTCTTTACTATTGAAAAACCTATCCTGTCATCAACAAGCCAAAAAAAAACAACAGAAAGCAATGGTGGGCATATGTAGCTCTTTGTATGTATGCATCAAATGCAAAATCACGCTGTTGGATCTGCACAAGAGCTTCCATAAAACAGCAACGACCACGTACCCTGATTAACATTGCTCAAAAAGCAACTCCAGGTTATACATTCTAAGCTATATATATATTATCTTCCATCACTAGCATCCAACAGCTAATTTCAACAGCAACACTTGGGGCCAGAAGCAGAGGGTATATGTTTTTGTTTGGGTGAGGTGTAGTGGGTGTGGACTTTTTGTCAGTTTGGTTTGGTTTGTTTGTTTTAAACAAAGCATTACTTGCTTCAACCCACACGAACAAGGACTGATATCCTGTGGTTTTAAGACTAGCCCATCTACAGCCTATTTTCAGCTGAAATTTCAAATATATTAACAATTTCAAACAAAATATCACAGATAGCTATTTAGAGGCCTCATAGGGAGAAAGAAGATTCCATTAGAGGATAGTGATGAAGTGCAACTGCCTATGTTAATTTTACAGATAGAAAATACTATTTCCCATTATCATCTTTGACACCTTAATTTTTCAATGAAAAATTACACACCCACTGTAACATCAGTCCTGAAGTTCTTTGCCACAAACATGTCTATTCACATGAAGCTAGATCAAAAAAAATTTATGGTAAGGGCAATATAATTTCATTATTCAATGCCTTAGCCATCACTATGGAAATAAAAACAATTATTTTTTGTCTGGAACACTGAGGTCCCAAATCTCGGGTGGTGTTTATACCATATTATACTATCAATATTCTGTCTTTCTCCAAAAATGTATCAATGTCAAAGTGGAAGTTTCTGGTAAAAATAAGTAACTGCCCCTACCCTGGCCCCAAAAAAAGGAAAAAAAAAAGTAGAGATAAATAAAACAAAGGACATGTAACACCACTTTGCCTTCTTGTTCTGGAAAGCCTACATGTTCCAAGCCTTGGGAAGACCCTGTAGTATTTTAAGACACTAACAGAAAGAGACAAGAATTCATACACAGTTCAAGCTTACTGTGTAAGCAAATTTCTGAATCTACTATCTTCTTTCTCCTGCTAGAATCAACACATTCATATGGGATATTATAAAAATTTGCTCTACTTCAAACACAAGACAGCTGCATTTTTTAAATCCTTCTTTCCACCATTTCGCCTGTTCTTGTTTATCAGGTTGTGTCTTATTGATGCTGCGTCTGGACCAAATAATCATGATGACCCTGGTCCATCTCTGAATTCACCAGACCATTTCTATGGTGGAATTGAAAGAAATCCTGACCACAGCCAGCGGCATAAGGAACTCTGAGAGACTAATTTTCTAGGAGAAACTCCCAAACACCACTCTCCCTCCCACAAAGGACAACTAAACAGTTAAGAACATGAACTAATGATGCCAGAGTGAAAGGTTTTCAATTAAAATAAAAGGAACATCAAAACCCTTCCACATAATAAAATATTCCTTCTTTGCATTGTAGAAATAATAAAAAGTCCACTCAAAATAGTCTCAAAACAAAAGAAGGTCCCTGTCACAATCATCCCTGTCATTTGTTGACACAAATGTACTATAAATTTCAACCTAGATCACTAAACTGCCATTCTTAGAAATTTTAAGGCAAAAATGTAGGTAGTATCTGAAAATCAGGCCATCAGAATATAGGAGGAAATGATAGTCTTTCAGAAATTACAATCATCATTTTGCAGCAACACTGCGGTTCGTTACTGACCAGCATATAAATCACATTAACCACTATTTCAGCACGTCTTTACTCAAGATTTCAATCACAAGGCTGATTTATGTTCACTAGATGATCCAGCAATTGCTTTACAAGTCATTTCCTCACACACAAAAACCTCCCTATATTCTCAAAAGCTGTGTGATACTGATGTGCAGCCATTCATTCCACTATGAAAGCAAGTATTTTGTTAACTTTACAGTCTGTATTTGTGACTTGTAAGCACTGGGAGGGGGAGAAAGAGTGGTTTTAAAGACAGAATTCTAAACTTCCATTTTTTCCTTTGTTTAGCAGGACTCTAATACTGAAGTTCATTTTCCAAACTACTTCATCTAAATGAAGGGACAAAGGTCTTCATTGCTAAATTTCCATAAGCTCTCAGAACACACTGAACTTAAGGAATGCAATACCCTTTGGGTACATCACACCACACTACACTAAAAATAGCTGCACTTTTAAAAATGTATTGCTAACAGGAATTCTGGGTCTTTTCTGAAAACCTAAAAGCGAATACACAATTTCCCCAGTAAATATCCTATTTGTTCCTGTGTTATCCTGCTATTTTTTTTGTAGCTTGATGTCTGCTTTCTAAATCTTTCTCTTGCTGTTCTTTGGTTCTCTTCTCTAGGAAGAGGATAAATTTACTAACAAAATGGATGCACTGATGGAAAAGTGCTGTTAAAAGGTCCAAAGTAAAATATAAACATTTTGTCCTTCACTCAACTTCAGTCCACACACAAAGTCAACTTATAAATTGGATTGACAGATTCAAGCACAGTTGGTATATAAAGCTACATGACAGAAACACTGAAGGTAAGTGACATCTTGAGTTCTATTTTATCAGTTGCTCACCCAATCACTCTGCCTATCCCCACATGCAAAACTTGTTTTCATCCATTATCTTTTCTCAGTCCAGTTTCTCTAGTACAAAGAATTAACAACCTACTTTTTTACAACCAACTCAAGCACTATGATCTTCAAATCACTCTGTTCTGATATGTTACGCATAGCAATAGCTGTTAAAACTTCTTTGAACCAAAAAGTTTGCTATGACTAAAACAAATGAAAAAAGTAATGGCAATCACATTTCCTTCCACATAAGATTAAAATCTAAAGGGACAGATTTTTCAAGATTTTTAGAAATTATGCAAAACTTCAAAAAAGTTTTTAGTCGGGGATAATGGTGACATGATGTTCAGTTCTTTTGGAAAAATAAAAACTGATCTGGAAACTTATTTTAGTTATCCAAAGTTATGAAAAGAAAAGCAGTTTTAACTTCTGTCAAATTTATATTTCAATTTGATAAAGGATAATGCCTCTTAGTTCTATTTCTTTTATGCTTTTTAACCAAAGACCGTACAAGCATTCCACTTTTGAAGTTCACTAAGCATGAATCAGACTGCAAATGTTCAGCTATCTTTGCAGCCAAATATAGGTATCTTATTCAGTTTTCACAATTCCTCTAAAAACACAACCCTCAAACATAGATAGAGACAGAACAAGTCAAGACAGGACACTACAGTATTGTTTTAGCTGTGACTATGAACATATATGTGCCAAAAAAACTCCCAACTGTTGTTTTATTGAAAAATACAGCATATAAGTCTTTACCTGCAGCTCTGTAAAGTATTTTAGGTTCAAAGAATATACATGGATTTTTGTCCTCTATGCATGACAGCAGCAGTCCTTTGGCCTGAAGAGGACTCCTTGGAATAACAATCTGCAAAAATATTTTTTAAAGTAGTTTATTTAAACTGCAATTCTGCTACAAGCTTCCTCAATTAATATTAAAAACCAAGCAATTATTTGCTTTAAATAAACCTATGTACAGATTGAGCAGTTCTTACAAAGTAAATTAACATCATTGCTACATTACTAAGACACACTCCAAATTCTGAATTTTATTTCATTTATTGATGAGGCTTGAATAGTTCCTCTCTACACCATGACTTAAATACTAATCGACTCCCCTCCAATAAGGTAGAACTAACATCTTAATAACATTTTGAGGTAGAAAAACAGAAGACAGGTTAAAAAAAAAGTTAGTTTAGTAAAATTAATATAGATGTATGACAAAAAAAATTCAGCTGAGTGAGTCTCAGTTGCTTGGTTAAAGATTCATCAGAGCAGGCCTGGAAGGTGTTAAGACTTGGTTCAGTAAGTTTTGAAGACTAAAAAAGGAAATACCTATTTAAAGTTGACTGTCTTTGCTTATGGTGGAAGCCTGAAATTTGTTCATTTTGGAAATTCACAAATAACCAAAAAGTACCTGAAACTATTATCACACAAAGAGAAAACTAAGCAAGGCCTCCAGATGTAATCTGAATAGTTGGAAGGAAAAAGTGTAATTGTTTTGTCAACAGAAGAGTTAATTTTGGATTATCTAAGAGAATGTTGATTATGAACAAAAATTACCAAATTATCACAGTTTAAATGAAAAAAGAACCCAAAAGCTCAATTGCCTCAAATCAGAAGGACCAGCTAGTTTACATCCCAGAAATCTCAAAGAGCTGGCATGTGCACTGTGAAGTCTACTAGCAAACATTGTTATAGCTGTGAAGGTAGAAGTGGCACCCTCTGACTGAAAAGTCAGTTAAAGACAAAAAAAAAAATTCCATGTAATTACAGAAATGTTAATTTACTGTCTCCAGAAGCTTCCAAGGCTTCAAAATATATTTTGAGAGTAAGAACATTTAATTATATAAAACTAATAGAAGAGTCAAAACACAACCTAAATCTGCTACCACATCAAATTAACTTGATAAGTGATTTTTCTAAACAAGGGAATATTTCACCAAAGCATTTGGTAACAGACACATGGGAAATTACCCAACTATCACTAGTGCAGCTCCTCAGGGATCATTTTTAGGACAGACTTTTTTTTACCTTATTCATTTATGATGTTAAGTCAGAACATGGGAATGAAAACTACTCAAAAGCTGAGAGTCACTACCACTACAGAAGATGACATCAAAAACACCTGGTTCACATTGAGGACATGACTGACAAAAGCCAAAGCAAACTGAAAAACACATACTGAAAACTCACACATTGAAGGACCACGTTTTTTTCTACAAATTTAGAGCTCAGCAGTAGAAATTAAGAACTGAGTTGATTATCTGTTCAAAGGTTGACTAGGACATTATGCAGTACAGCCCTAAATATAGCCAATGAAGTGTTAGTGCTATTGCAAAAATCACTGCTAATAAATCAGCTGGAGTAGTTCATAAATATATCAACTGTTTTGAAAGAAAATTAATTAAACAGGTGCCAAAAGAGCTTCAGAAATCGTTAACATCTCTCTGATAGTTTGATTTGTTTAGTCTAACAAAACAAAGGCTAAAGGGAAAATAATTATTCTCTTAGTATATGAAAAGGAAGATGAAGGACAGATAAGTTAAATATACAAGTTAGTCAGGAACAAATCTAGACTGGAAATGAAAAGAAAGCTTCTAGCCATGACAGCAAATATTCTGGAGCAGTCTTACAATAGAATGGAGATCATCAATACAGTAATTTTGGAGAAGACAGTCTGATTTATTAAGACATACATCTTCACAACAGTAGACAAGAGATCATCACCCCAACAAGCCTTGTCTTAAGTACTAATGATTACAGTTCTTCCCCTGAACAGCCAACGTTGTACAAACTCCCTTTTGCTTAGCAAATCCAAGCCTCACCTTTCACTTAAGAAAAACACAAAAATCTTAAGTCAAGAACCTGCGGCAGAGTTTAACAAGAGGGCAGTTTTGAAAACCATTCGCCCCAAAGATCAATTCTACCCTTACCAGCCTGTAGTACATGGCCTTTCCTCCTGTAATTTGGAGAAAATATGCATAGATACAGGACTTCTGCAAATGCATCTGAACCACAAGTTCATTGCAATTATGGATTCATACGTTAAGGGCTGGGTTTGGTTTCATTCAAAAAAAAAAATCACCTGCAACCTTGAAGATAAAGCCTTTAACATTATTAACTGCATTAATGAACAACTTTGCAAAAAATATTACAGGAACAACATTGTTTTCACAAAGATACAAAATTCAAACAATAGAGTCTGAAATACTCCTCTGTGCATCAAAAACTAGTATATTGTTCCATCGTTTCCAGAATTTAATGTGCTTTTTACCTTTAACTGAGATGACAGCTGTTAGTGATAGCAACCTATTTTAGCACTTTACCCACAAGGAAAAGTGAAAGTGAAAAAACAAAAAAAAGAAAGATCAGAGATTAGAGAAAAGAAATTAAATTACCTGGAGTGATTAAATAAAATTCTGATTTAGTAACTTATTCAGAAGACTAAGCACAGTAGTACTAGGTTTCTATGAATTAGAAAGAGTTTTAATCATCTGAGTGGACCACTAAATCTCAGCACTTGGTCTAGTATATAAAAATTTAAGATTGACCAACAAGACCAGCTTAAATTAGCTAGACCTAGCATCAGTATCTTAATCATATAAGTTATCTTGTGCTTCGATAGGATAATAAAACTACTCTAGATTTTTAAACAAATTCAAGAAATTTGTTTCAATTTGCCTTTTTTTTTTTTTTGCTTCAATTACCTGGCAAAAGACTTTGTAGATTGCTTTTGTCTATATGAGGAAATACTTTCAAGTTCAGAATAGGAACACCTCAAACATCATAAAGAACACACAAAGACAAAAATGCCTTCTATTTCTCAAATATCATGAAATAAAATGTGAATAATACAAGATTTATTTAAGTCACAAGAAACAAGTAGGAGAAATGGCTATGGCCTCCCTGTAAATGAGTAATATCTGAAGTTTTAGAACACCAAAATTATATAGATAATAGTTTAAACACCAGATAAACAATGAACATGTGTCTTCAGCATACAAATACTAGTTTTGCTTAAGTCCTCCACATTAATCAAGCTATGAGTCATTTCTCAATGGACTGGATGGCAATTAACCCAGAAGTACAAGTCCAAAGACAAAAATTTACTCAGAAAACAGCAGAGAGCTGGGAAGCACTGCTTTCTTAATCTGAGACTACTAGATCCTGCTCCTCCCTCTTCCCCAGGAATGTTACCCATCTAAACGCTAGGAATCTTATCTTCAAGGGATGTCCCCATCTCACACAGAAAGCTTGCCTAAAGTTATTATTCACAGAATCACAGAACAGTTAAGGTTGGCAGAGACCTTCCGAGATCATCCGATCTGCTCAGGCAGAGCCACCTAGAGCTGGTTGCCCAGGACCATGTGCAGACAACTTCTGAATACCTCTAGGACGGAGGCTCCACAACCTCTCAGGGCAACCTGTGTCAAGTACTTATGTTCAGACAGAACCTCCTGTGTTTCAGTTTGTGCCCACTACCTGTCACTGTCATTCATAGAAAGGAATTCGATAATGCTCTTAATATAGATCCAGAAAGACAGAAAGGAAAGTACTATTTATTAGTGTTCATTTTTAGTTTCTGTACTGTACTGGACACAGAACAGGTGTAAAATGTATGCTTTTAGTGCAAAAAGCATACAAATACAAAATGTTATGTCTGCTAAAGATTGCTTCAATAATGGCTATAAATTCTCAAACTCACACAGTTTAGATTTTATAATTTGAAAACTTCTAAAAGAGTTTCTAATTAACATAATCAGAATTTTTTGCTGTGGACTTCGACTTCCATTCTTCTTTCCCTGCTTGGATCCAGACTCATTGTTAGTCATGTTCATTAAAAACAAACAAAATGCAAACAAACAAAATTAATCTTCATAAAATAAGTTACAGTACCTTTATTCCTGGACAGTGAGCAAAAAAAGCTTCTGGACTTTGAGAGTGATATAGTGCACCATGACCCACACAGCCCCAGGGGGCTCTGATGGTGAGGTTTCCACAATTAAACAGATCTCCAGAGCGGTAACGATATTTTGCTGCTTCATTAACAATCTGGGAAGATTTATACACAAAGGTAACATTCAGTCCAATACCTTTAGTTATGTGTCATTAAGTCTCTACAATACCTAAGCTATAACTACATCATCTGCACCATGCATGGGATTCAGAGGACCAAATTAGAAGCAAAGGACTCCTGTAAGTCAGTGGAAAGGCAAACATTTTCCAAGGCAAATGAGGTAATAACTTAGTGTGTTCAAGTTAGATACCTAGGCCTCAGGAGTAGCCATATAGCTCAGTCGTTTCCCCATTTCCATACTGTCAATCAGCCCAGTTCAAATCTGTAGTTTGTCCTGTGTACACATGGACAGCTGCAGCAGCACAGAGAAGTGAGAGATGGTGTTGGGAAGACACAGCTGAGGAATTTAAGGCTGCCGAAGCCAGCACAGCCACAAAACCAAAAATAAAAACAAACAAAGACACATTTGCTTCAAACCATGTCTTTAATTTCCATTATTTAATGAGCCTTCAAACTGGCCTCGGTACCTTCCTGTTTACTTAAAGCATGCATAAATATTAGTAATACAGCTGTGGATATACTTGCAAACATTACATATTCAAACCAAGTAATGGAAGAGTAATTTCGACAGTCACAAGATTTCTTTTTGCTTCTTTCAAATTTATTAGTACTAACCTGATCAAATGCTGGAAAAATGTAATCTGCAAACTGAATTTCTGCAATGGCTGTAGCACCTGCAACAGCAACTCCAATACCAAAACCAACAATTCCTTGTTCACACAAGGGGGTGTTGAAAACTCTATCTTTACCTATAAAAAAAAAAAAGACAAAAACAATTCCTTTCACACACCATCTCAAAGTGGAAAACTCAGCCCCAGAAATAATTCAAGTTATAAACAAATCACCTACAAATAAGCAAATCTTCAGACGGGCTTTTTTAGGTATATCAACAATAAATATCCATTACAGGTAAAGATACTTTCACTTTAATCTGTAACAGCTCAGAGGAAGATGAGGAGAAACAAAATGCAAGATAAGAACAGTTTCTGTAACTTCCAATGTTCTTATTAACACTTCAAGGAAAATAATTTGTTCTGATGTATATATGTAGATAAGCATGCATACCACCCATGCTTATGTGAGAGAAGTAAAGAATACTAAAAGGCATTAAAAAACATCCATACTCAAAGGCAGATAGATCTACAAGAGCATCTGCATGAAAGTATACTGTCTTTTCCCCCACACTGCCTGTAAGCAGTGCCCAGTCTTACTAGCCTTCTTTCATAAGGTAAGGCTGTGCTTACTAAAGAATTTGGTTTGTCTCCAAGGCAAGAGAAAAAAAGCTGTGCCTGCTGTTGGAGGCACAAGACTAGAAATCAAGTATTTTGGGTTTTGTGTCTTCCCCATGGGAGTGCAAAAAGGTCATTTTAGCCTTGAAATATTTCTGTGCCATGGTAATTTCAGAATCTGAATATGTATCACTAACAGATGGTTGAAGACAAAATTGTTCCATTCATGAAATTAAGAAAAGAAGGACAGGGTGGGAGATGAAACACCATTACAGTATCCTCTTTAAGACATATTTACAATATTTGCCAGCAGTACTGTACTCCCTCTGTAGATCAACAGGATAACTTATGTTATTAAATTTTCCTTTTACCACATTGGGAAATAAGAGAGCAGGCTTCTATAGAAGCGCATTATGCATCAATATGCCAAACTTCAAACTGGATGGAAAAAAAGTGAGCACAGCACACACCAGTGGCTATGAAATGAGCTAAACGAAGTAAAGGTACAAGAGCAGAACCATTACCCACAGCTGTATTTAGTATATACCAAAGGGAGGCATGTTTTACAAACCTTTTAAGTACACATCTCATCTCTACACATCAGCCAGCAAAGCATTGTCACTGCCTGTACTTGGCACATTGTCCATGTGCTTTACCTGATGTTTTCAGTTTCATACTGCAAGGTTTACTTTGTTTTGGGTTGCTTTTTTTGTTTGTTTTTTTGTTTTGTTTTGGGGTTTTTTTTCATGTTGTTTTGGGGAATTTTATATATGTGTGTGTGTATATATGTATGCATATATATATATATATCAGTAATTAGTTTTTGGATCTCCCTCTGCCTTCCTCCCTTTTGCTTCCACCAGGAACATGACTAAGATGCCAATCATTTAAGGCAAGTTAAAAAAATGCCATTGAATGATACTACAATGTTGGTGTTATCAGTGAGGCTACAACAAGTCGACACAAGTCCAAAGCACTACCACAATTGCGGGACACTCCTCGATTCTGCATATAAGACAAAGGAAACATTTTCAAGCACCTTAATCTTTGAGGGGAAACACCATTTTCTCAAATGAGTCATTCCAAATTTCTATGACATCTACTCATTTCTTATAAATTAGTGTTTGAAACAAAAATCTCTGTGACTTACAGTACTTTTAAGATACATGCACACTAGGATGCTTCTTGTTCAGAAATAATTTCCAAGAAACTTTCAAAATTCTTAAAACTTAGAAGTCCTGCTATTGCTGCTGGAGATAAGAACATCACCACAGCTAGCTCAGTAATTAAAACTGAATTCCAGATTAATAAAATTATTGCATAGCTTTTGAAAGAAATTATGGTTTTGTTGTCTGGCTGTCAAACACACACAATATTACACTGATCAAGTCTGAATCACAGCAAAGTACCTTGCTAATCAGAGAACATTTTACAAGTAGAAAAACCTGCTAGCTCTCATTTCCAATGTATATGAGCAAACTGATCTCAGTAATTTCCAAATGTGGGTCATCTGTACTTTGTTCCATATCCCCTGGAAGAAAAATAATCATCTCTGCAGGTACTGTGCTTAAAAGCTGTTCAGACTGAAAATGGCAATAGAAAGTGAAAATGGCAGTAACTTCATAGCACTGCCATTTATTCTTGATGGGCATTTATTTTCCCAGCGTGCTGTATTAACATTACTAGTCTGCATATTTTTACTCTTTCTTTACTAGTACTAGCAATGTGTCTGGCAATGCCTCTACATAAAAACAGCCCCAGCCCTGAAAGATTTTAATTCCAAGTAACAGAAAGATGGAATGCTCTGAGAAGCCAAGAACTGGGGAAGTTGCCTTATGAGCCGACAAAAGGGGAAGATTTCTGTCACATCTGTACCTTGCTTCTCCCATGCAGCATAAAAAAAAAACTTTGGCTTTTGGGGCTATTAAGTCCCATTTACTATAGAATAACTAGATCATTAAACTAATACATATGATGGAGAAGGAAAATAATGCCATGGAAAGATCAAAGAACTTCTATAACAAGGAGAATGCAAGATTATTTTTGAGCCTAAAGAGAGTGTATACTGTGTAAATTGTTCTCATTCCTGAAGGAGGGCTGTAATCTCAGCTCCCAAGCTATACAGCATCCTCTGGTGCACTCCATCCACTGACAGGCATCATGCTTAAGGAAAGAGGAACAGCAACCACCTATGCCAACGTGTAGTTGCCCCAGGCCTTACCACCATCTGTAGATCATCAGATGCAACCACAAGAGCTGTCCCTGTACCTGTATCCATCTGTAAAACTATAAACAGTTGGCAAACATCTCCTTCCCACCTTTTTATTTAATTTAGCGTGCCATAAATTAGACATCTTATTTCCCTTCTCTTTCACTGATGCATTTAGATTTTAATTTAAAACAGCTCATATTTTAATAAACTAAAAATGCATGAACATTAGCAAGACATATTACACTTTCCTACTTCTTATAAGTCTATTGGCAGATCAATACACTGCATTTCATTTGCTTACATGATAATTTGATACAGGATATGACCAGCAAAGAAAACACTGACAAAATAAGGCTACAGAAGAGACTGGGGTGAGGGGAAGAAGCTGAAATTCACAGTAAATTTAAAAACATAGCATTATTATATTGAAATCAAACTATTCAATTGGCTGCCTTTTCTTCCTGTGAATTTCTATTCTATTTTAACATATACTGATTTATTGAAACACAGTTAAATCTGGTTTAAATCTCTACCGTGTAGCCTACATAGACTAATGCCTGAGCAGAATAAAAAAAAACAGATAGTTGAGACATGCCCAGAAGTCAGACCATACTAACCTTATTCTTTATTAACAGTTTTTTCAGAGTACACTGAAATTACCTTATACATTAGTTCTATAAATAATTTTATCACACAAAAATTTAAATGTATTTGAACAGTCCTGTAAAATGAGCTTTCAGCTTACAAAAACTTCAAAATTAATTGTTCAGTATCAATTTGTGATAAATGAATTTAAAAGCATGTTAGATCCACTACACTAGCTTGCCTCTCTATGATTCAGAATATAAAAGACATCCTAACAAAACTGCTGAAATACTATTGAGACATTAAATTAGAGGCAGCATGCTGCTATCAATGGAGCACATTGAAATAAATGAAGTGAGAATCAATAAAAGCAAATGTGAAATACAACATGACAGTTATAACCTAATCATCTTTAAGCACCTAATTTGGACTTTTGAGAATTAATGGCATAATCCCAAAGTACTATGGCTTAAAACAGTGAAGAAAGAGCCAGGTAATTGTCATTACTGAGATTCATTACTCAGGAATGGTTTTGATTTTACATGTAAAATAATAATACTGATCCGTTCTTAAAAGCAAAACCTAAAGCACTTTACTGTTCATTAGATGGAAAAACAAGCCTTGGACAAAGTTTCAAGGATTGGGTTTGTTGGGTGTTTTAAATAAAATATAACCTTTTAACACAGAAAGATACACACATCAATAGGATAAAACAAATTTATTTATTTCCCCAAACATTAAAAATCATATGCCATAGCTTTAAACTCCTATCTTTATTTATACAATATGAAAATCATTACTAAAACAAATATAAATTATTTAAACAATGAAAATTTAAAGGCATTAACCCTTTAAATACATATTTATGCCTATGTATAATCTATTTTATTTCATTTTTTATTTTTCATATTTTTTCCGAAGTGAAAAGGAAGTCAATTTTGATAAACAGCCGTTCACATCATCCTTTGCAAACCATTCACTCAGCTGAACTCTGATTCAAGCAGACAAAGACCCTAGAGATACTTTGTCTTTCCGTATTTCATTTCCGTACCAATGAAGAAACATTCCCTAAAACGTACTCTTCTCCTATTACTTGCGTCAGCCACGCAACTCAAAACAAGCTAACACAAACTCCGCAATCTGACTTGTTGCTCTAGGTTGAAAGTAGTACCTCTACGTTATCTGAAACCAGGTGCGTCAGCCTCTGAAGAACGACATTATGCTGGGGTCCATTTCAATTAACCTGCCCGGCTTTATAAACATCCCTAGTCTCAGCCATCTGAACAGGTTGGTGCCCTTTTCCAAGTAGTGAGGGAAGCAACATGGCAAACAGAGCTCTATGAAAAAAAGGATGATTCTTCTCGTCTCTCCATCCCAAAAACTCAGGAAGATTAGCTGCATGTTAAGCAAATGAATAAATACACTAGAAGTGTTGCCTAATAAGGTAAATCTGAAAAGATTAAAAACATTAAGGAAAAAGTATTTCACTAAACGCAATTTTTAAAAAATTATTTCATCCTCCCCTCATCTATTTTACTTAAAGATTGATCTTTGTGATTTTCGGAACAAAGAGTTAAGTACCCCACAAACGTTCAAATTACCACTGACACTCTGTGCAAGGGGTAACAGCTTTGAGGCAGTCTTACAGTCATCATCTCATCCTCCAAGAATAAAAAGTTTCATAGCAACCTAACAGAACATGTTTACAGACATATGTAGTCGA